CAAGTTCATATGAAGCGAATTGTTCATCAGTTTCAGTATTTTAGAGCACATAATCAACATAAAGAGCAGTGTTTGATCCCAAAAAATCAGAACCTTATACAGTAGAGGTGTAAAAAGGGCACAAAACACGGACCCCCGCAATAGGATAAGTGCCTAGGGGGAGTATACATCCCCTTTGGACCGTTCATACTGACTTGGAAGACAATATACTGATCCATGCACTGGTCAGGAAGACAGAATATTCTGTAGAAAAAATAATTTTAAAAAGGGTTGATGTTGTATCAAACGAAGACTTACCCACTCGAACAAATTCCTGTGTTGAATGTCGAAGATATTTTTACCAATGATAAGAATATTATTAAAATCTCCAACGTATTGAATATCTTCATAGCCCCAAAATCAACCAGATGTTCCATTCTGTTGAATAAGGAAGTAATCTGGAACATTTAATACAAAATACACTTTTAATATTTTAAATCAATTTTGGGTAAATAGGAGTTGCTCATACTATATGTGTATATGCATACATATTTGAACCACAAGCACAAGATGAAGGCATTAGATATTCCAGCAATAAACAAGATTCCAGGCATGTTTTTCACTTAAAACAGCTTTTGGAATCAAAGTGTTCTCTGGTTAATTTGATCGCTATGTACTTGGCTCATATCGGGAAATAAAATACACAATATTAAGATATCGAGAACCGGAACAATTTCAAACTATGTCCTTATACGGAAAGTACAGTTCAAGTAGTACAGTTTTAGCAAAGACCACCATTAACATGAACGTTGAAAAGCATTAATTAAATCTCGGCCCTTTTCTTAGTCAGAGAAATTTGTTGTGCTTATATCCGCTTCCATCACATAAACTCAACTCTGTCCGTATATTCCAGAATTCTGATATTTCCTTAGGGCATTCAGTGCGCGTTTCTGGAAATCCTGTTACAATTACTTCTGCTAGTAACTGCAATTTCGGGTCATGTTGAGTTTCCTCACGAATCTTCTGTAGCTTACGATCTGATATGGGTAGGCTCTTAATGAAGAGTCAACATACACTTTGAGATCCTCCTCCTGCTCTGATTTGGTCAGTTTTGTTGACATATCCGTTCCTCTGGACAACGCATCAGCGGTATGCATTAATTTTCCTGGTGTGTAGCCAATACGTAGATCGTAATTTTGTACCCTCAGCAGCAGTCTTTGTAATCATAGTGGACAGTCATTCAGAGACTTCTTAAAGATGCTCACAAGGGGTTTATGATTGGTCTCCACTTCTACTTCCTGTCCAAGTATGTATTGGTGGAAGTGTTCACATGCAAATGATATGGCTAACATTTCTTTCTCGATCTGCGCGTATCTTGTTTCTGCATCAGACATAACTCGCGATGCATAAGCCACCGGCATCCACTCATTATCATGCCTCTGTAAGAGCACTGCTCCTAGTCCAAAACTAGAGGCATCTGAAGAGATTTTAATCTCTTTGTTCGGGTCAAAGAACTTAAGTACTGATGTACTTGTTAGTATGGCCTTTAGCTTCTTAAATGATTTTTGCTCAACTGTAGTCCACTGAAATTGTTTTTTCTCCTCTGTGAGATTTCGCAAAACTTGTGTTTTCGATGACAAGTCTGGAACATATCTTGGCTGGTAGTTCAACATGCCTAAAAAGCATTGTACATCTTTCTTACATTTTGGAATCTCAAAAGTTTGTTATGGTCTTTAAATTTGCCTCGTCCGGCTTGTTTCCCTCTGCAGATATGTAGTGTAACCGAGGAATGTAAGTTCCTTAGCTCCAAATACGCATTTTTCGCGATTCAGTTTGAGATTTGATTTGCGCGATGCATCAAACACCTGCTGTAGTCGTTGGTTGTGTTCTTGTAGCGTTAAGCCCCGGACGATGATGTCATCCATCACTGTCGTGCATCCTGGTATGTGTTCATATATCGTGTGAATGGTCCTGTGATATATCTCAGGCGCTGATGAGATACCAAAAGGTAGACGCAGAAATCGATACCTTCCAAATGCTGTATTGAAACAGGTTATTTTTTAGGAATTCTGCTCCAGTTTCATTTGCCAGAATCCAGTGCGAGCATCAAGTTTACTGAAATTATGTGCATTCTTGAACTTCGCATGAAGTTCATCTCGCGTTGGCAGCTTGTAATGTTCTCTCTGTATCGCTTTGTTCAACTGAATTGGATCCAGACACACGCGGATCTTTCCGTCTTTTTTCGGAACGATTGCAATCGGACTCACCCAATCTGTATGCTCGGTTTCTTTGCATATGACGCCCATATCCTCCATGAGTTTAAGTTCATCTTGGAGTTTTTCATGACGAGCGAAAGGTATTTTACGACATGGACTCACTACTGGTGTAATGTCTGGATCTATGGATAATTTATGTTTACCCGGTAAACATCCTAATCCTTCGAACAAGTCATTATTTTGATCCACAATCTGTGCATTGGTGTCTGTAATCTTTGCAGTTTTCTATGGTATATGTGCGTTTTACTAGTCCTTACTTGCTTTTACGCCTAAGATTGCTGTTGATGCATTCTGAACTATATCACAAAATAGGCCTTAGCTGCTTTGCCCTGATGAAAAACTTCCAGAACACATGCTCCTCGGACCGGAATACTTTGCTTGCTGTACGACATAAGCTGTTTATTTGTCTTGTGTAGTTTTGGCTTCCATCGTAGACTGTGATACTGTTTCTCCAGCAGGATGTTGACTTGACTACCTGTATCCAATTTTTAGTTGAATCCTTTACCATTGGTTCATAGAGTTACACGCCACTCCTCTGGTTTGTCGGAATGAACTGTCTCCAGGGCGTCGATGAATAAAGCTTGTTCTTCCTGAATGTCATGAATGTGTTTCTTTTTCTGCATTTTCTTTTTAGTACTATTTTGTTTGCCTTTTGATCTGCAGACTTTTGCGAAGTGATTTGCACCATTACTTTTATCGCAGTCTTATGTGAATCATCATACCCATACCGTTCACAAATTTTACCTTGCTTAGATACTCGTACTTTTTTGTCTTTGGGTTTGGCACCAACGGTATGTACTTCAGAGGGAGGGAAAATACTTTTTATTTGTTCCTTTTGTCGACTCTGCTGCTCTACAGGTTGCAAGTGCTTTGTCTTATGTGAGATCGACTGTTCGTAAAAGTCTCTCTTTGATTGTGTTATCGGGGACCCCACATATTATTCTGTCACGTATTAGAGAGTCTGCTAGATCCCCAAACTCACAGTTCTTTGCCATAGTTCGTAATTCCGTATGGTCTCATCGGACCTCTGCACCCTCGTGAAGAACTTATGTCTCTCATACGTAGTATTGCGTTTTGGTGTGCAATGTGCCTCAAATTTCTCGAGTGTTTTCTTTAATTTATACTCATCACCCTCCTCAAATACAAAGGTGTTATAAACTTGAACTCCTCTTCTCCTACTATGTGTAAGAAAATGCATGCTTTTTCTTTGTCACATTTTTCGGACGCACCTGTAACCGTCATATAAACATCAAACCTCTGTTTGAACTTCTTTCAGTTTTCTGCCACGTTCCCAGTGAGCAAAAGTACTCCTGGTGGTCCCAGTTTATCCATTGCAACCTTCTGACGCCATGTGTTAAGGTTAAGGTGGTCCTATAAGGCTTTTATTAGCCTGTAGAAACAACATAAGAATGGCGTCGGTTCCATGCTTTTAATTCTGTGTTCCTGCACATAATTGATGACGTAATACACAAAAGGGGTCAATTCAATACATATAAATGATACAATTAGTGCGCTATATACAGGTGCATTTACAATGCCTATTCCCCATTTTAAAAAGTGAGTTATCTCCCCTCGAAATCGGAACTCTTCTACACCAGCATAACTTCCGCGGACTACGCAAATCAATAATCCAACAAAATAGTGATCAACTTACACGCTGCATTTAAAAATTTTAAAAGAAGGAAACAGTTTGCAAATTTTTTTTAGATAATTAGCGATTTTTTAAAGGGTCTGTTAGCCCCCCACCCTTTCTAGAAAGCGATACAAATTAGCCAGGTACGTAGCATCGTCTTTCAGTTTCAAAGTGGGGGGGGGGGGGCAGCCAGAGAAATATCTTTTTTTTTACTTACCTGGAAAAGTTGACAAGCAAAGAAAAAACCTTGCCCAAAGACAAAGAAAGCCACTTATTTCAGTACCAATTCCTTGGCATACGATACTATATTTCCCTTATATAACTTTACCGTAGTATAAACTGGGGGTACTGTCTTTCAATGAACATTTTCAATAGTAAAAGTAATTCAACATCTTCATCAGAAATTTGCAATTTTATGTTACGTTATTATAATATTTTTCTTAATATCTCATATTCTACGGGATACATCTTATTTATGTCTAAAAAAGGGTAATTTACAAAATAAATGCAAGTTTGTCATGTTTGTAATAAGCGTTGTGGTGAAACCGGGAAGATGAATTTCGCTGGATGTCAGTTAAGTGTGTTACACACTTGAACTCAGAACTGACCATAAGAATGTTTCAAATTAACTTTCACGCGAATTTGATTGACAAGTGATGATGCACGAGGGTTCCGTGCGTGTAACATTTACAGAGAACGAATGTGTAAATGGGTTGAACAGTTGAATATGAACCAAAGTTGTGGAAATTAAACCTCATTATAATTATTAATTGTGAATTCGATATAATGACGGTATATATATTTTTTTCACAGATGTACATGTATGTCAGTTTCACAGGGTTTCATGAGTCTCTTTCTCTCTCTCTCTCTCTCTCTCTCTCTCTCTCTCTCTCTCTCTCTCTGATATTGTGTTTTACACACGTTGCAAAAAAGAATAACTTATAAAAATAAATACTTACATGTACACTGAAAGGATTTTAAAAACATAACACTTTACGAAAAGAATGTTTTCCGTATTAACGAAAAATACCCTCGGTAATTATTGTATCACTACATGTAAGTGGTTAATTATAGTACCAATCTACATATACCTTATCTTGAGTACCAATATTAAATAGTAAGAGCGATAGCTACGAGAATCGTTGGTAAAACTATGAGCAATCTTCCTGCATGAAAACTTGAAGTAGCTGAAACTAAAAAATAATTTTTGAAAATATTGGCATAAACAAAGAATAAAACCTACTTCGGTTTTCCTTGGTCATATTTGTTTAAATAAAATAGTGTTATTGAAACAGGGCGACTTAAGTTGCTAAAAATTGTGTTCAATCCCTTTGACATATTGCCCATATTATTTTATATAAAAACATGGGATACAATGTAAAAAGAACCTTCCTTGATTATAGCTGGAAATGATTTTATCCATTTCTTTGTGTGTTTAACTTACCCCAACAAAGGCTTTGAGATGCGAAACACACAACGTTTTGGATAAATATCATATCCACTTCAAATCATGGTAAATGCTATATTTATATTCAGAGCAATGATATTCAAAGAATAAGATATATATTATAAATGAAATGCTTATAATCAGTTGGAAAAATACTACCCTTCCTTGGACATCCAAATCTTTTATCACACTCAGAGTTGCACTGGCATATTCCTGAACAGAATTTTCCAAACGTCCCTATTGGACATTCATCTTCACACTTCATTCCAAATTTTCCGGGAGGGCAGTCTATAAGTAAAAAATAATTTGAAAAGGTGTACATGTCATAATTGTAAAATTATTTGTAAAATTGTAGATTCCTTCTACATCAGCAATGTTGTTTGAAATCAAAGAAATTTAAATACATATACATGTAATTATTATAGAATAAGAAAGCAAAAATTGACTTTAAGATTTGCTGAATCTTATCAAAATATGCAAAATATATTATGTACAAATACAACAAAATTAAAAGAATTTTGGTCCCTTGTTTTCGCTGTCGTAGTGAGTGCATGCAATTACATGTATTTATGAAATATTGTCAAAATTGATCGCCCTTTTTACATGAGATCAGACGTGAAAGCCGAGGTAAAGGAGTTAAAGAATCATACTTGATCTATTTCTTATCATAGCACGATTAGAAATAACGTGTCTTGTCACAGGCAATTCAATTGTAAAAAATTGATCTTCAGATATTTTCAATCAGAAGCTATAATGGAAGATAAGTGAACATTTCTTAAAAGTGGCTCAAACTTCCAATTCAACGTAACAGTGTCAGAATAACAAAAAGCAAAGTATATTTAGTAAGGTCTTGTCACAGGTAATGTACATGTAAGTGAAATATGAAATCTCTAAATCTCTTCTCTTTCAAATTATGATCAAAATTTAAGTGTTTGGGACAGTCGAACAAACGGAAAGACAGACCGACCGACAAACTGACAGACAAATGCCAAAATAGGGGACAAAACAGATTAAGCTCAAATATCTAGCTAACATTAACTTTGAACAGTTACACAATAAAGCCCAAAATAAATTTAAGCCGTCGTGTCACCATTCACGTAGATGGTTACAAAGGCGGAAATGTCCTCCACATTGCATTGACTGAAAACTTCTTATGACCGTTGTTTGCTGAATCTTTATGTTAAATTATCAGAATACATCCCTAAATAAGGATCATTTTTACAATTATAAATGCAACTGTTTTTTGCATTTCAGAAGGGGCTTCTTTATTTTTTGTTTTATATTTCTACTATGCTTCATCTTTGAACTCTATTGTAAGACTAACAACCGAAAATGCAAATTGTCTTAAAGTATAAAATACATTCATAAGATTTAATTTCAGTTTAAAAATTTTTAAGAAAAAAATAGAAAATATTGGTTTGTATTTTTTTTATCATGTTCTGAATTGCTTTTCAGGGAAGAAGGTTCCTGCAGGTACACCCATTGAAAATATACGAACTATGCATTCTCCTTATCTTTTTTTCGGACCGACAGGAATTGGTTTTTGAATATTAAATTATTAGTACACGTGGATCTGAAAAAACAGACAATGAGCATGAAATTTTACGAAACTAAATCATTTTGAGTGAAAGTAAAAATTCGAGAAGTCCTTATGAAATTCATTGTTGTTTATCGATACGTTAAAGCTGCAAAGCCAGTCACCGGTATTGAAATCATCAGCAGTGTCCCTACCATCAAAGAAACATGCAAAAGTGTACGTATCAATTACAGAATTAACGAGGTATTTTATCCTACTTTACATAATCATTTTAGCAATAAAACAAAATATAACAAATAAAATGTAATTTTTTGTTGTTTGCATGGAAATTAATATCGCAGTTATTGGAATTAATTAAATGACCTGCTTGTGACGCAAGTTAAATTGACTTTTACATTTATTGCAACACTTGCAGTCAAATAAAGCCTTTTTAATAAAACAAATTCTATATTTCTTAAGGAAAAATAAAAAGAATGGAAAAAAAGTTTAAAAGCCATCGAGACAATGTAAAAAATGATTATCTTTATTAACTACTTATCTTCATCAATTAACAATATTTTATTTTTGATTTGAACATTGAAATCACAGTTATAATATAATATATAATATTAATAATATAAAAAGCATATATTGACAAACCTTGGTCAACACAGCCGAAGTGTTTGTCACAAGTGATGTTAACGCTGCATTTACATTTCTGTCCACATTGATAGCCGTATGTTTTATTTGGACATCGCTTATTGCAATTTTCGCCATAAGTGCCCGGGTAACAAACTGAAAAAAATAGACATTATTTAAACAGAACTACAACATTGAAAATAATCTAGCTTAAAATTTGTAAATTGTTAAAGATGTATGTTTTTCCGAAACACTTGTTTTAAATGTCTCTTTTATATATATATTGGACAATTAAAGGTTTTATTTTTCTATGAAGTTCCACATATTTTATTGATTCATACTTAGTCTAGTGATCAAAGGTTAAAAATAAACCTAAACATTTATTTTTGATTCGTTGGTTATAATTTAAAAAGCATCCGAATTCCCTGAAATATGGTATATTGTAAATATAGTGAAATATGGTATTGAGTCATATAAATTGAAAAATGTTAAGATGGAGTTATTTTATAAGTTGATTTGGTAAACTTCTTTAACAAAATAATATTACAGAAAGATTCATACCCCATTTTTCCAAGGCACACACCAGTTTTAGGAAGACCTGAGTGAAATGGAGCACTTTCATAAGTATCTTTGAAACTATTGAATTGAAATACGTGGAGATGGCGAACAGTTTGGAGTTCAAAAGTCCATAAACCATTAAACAAAAGAAGCAAACTCCAGAGTTGGGATCAGGTGTCTTAATTTTTTTTAACTATATAAGTCTAAGACAATATGATTACCCGTCTTAAAAGTCTATAGTAAGCACAACAATTTAATAGACAATAGTTATTTGTGTGGACAAAAACTCATTATCATTAAAAGCAATTAACATTTTACAACATTTTTACTTGTAGAATACGTGCGACTTGACCAACTACTCATGACAAAAGAATTGCTTGGTTAACTTAATATCCAACAATCATGAATATTAGTACAATTAAAAGGAAAAAAAGGAATGTAACGTACATCCTAGTTTATGATTACATGTTTCATTAGATTTGCAGTTACAACTTTGATCACATAATTCTCCATAAGTAATTTTGGGACACATGCTGTAAGCAATTCTTGCCAAACCATCCACTTGGACAAAACTAAAAGTGGAATAAACGAGAGTTTTTCTCTTCCAGTGGTGCTGTTCTTTTGTATTTACTTATAAATTGACTTTAATCTTCGGACTTGTTTAAATTACAAATCAACATAAATTGCAGTTTTATTAATTTCATATAATAAAATATTGTTTGATATAGACTATTTTTGCCATGTTAAATTGTGTAATTTCATTGTGTTTGTGAATTGATTGTTACCTTTACATAATCCATTCTCTAGGTAGTAGTTAATACAGCATTCTATCTCCGCGCTATGAAAATATTCAAAAAAATGTTAGGATTTCATTTTTAAAAAATAAATTCAATAAGTTAAAAGAGGTGGATGTTGCCCATCTTTGACACTTTTTAGATCTGAAATATGCAATCTGTTTACTTTATATTTTTGTAACATGCATTTCTCATTGCATTAAACTGTGAAATCAAGATTTTATGGTTTCTGCTATATGTGTTTCTTTCTTTTACCTAATGTGTTTAACTGTGCTTGGTATTGTCAATTATACTATGTGTTGACATGTTTTGATTGCTTTATCATTTATTTATTAATAAATATTCATTCATTTCCAACCTTGCGTTTCCATTTCTGTCAAACAGAACACTGCCATATCTGGTATCCAAAAAGCATTAATTCATAAACAGTTATCACATTAGGAAATATTTTGTGCTAACATGTTGTGATCTTTTTTGTTTGGATAATTGGTAACTTAGTAAATCAAGTCAAAGTTTACATACTTCGCCATTTATGAGTATGATACATTTTTATCCTGAAAAGGCGGTTTTGTGTAAAGGAAATAAAAAAAATATATATCTTTTTTTTAAATTGAGGAACTCTAGAGAACAAGTTTTTGTTTGATATTGAGATACTATAAACAGCCTTCGTGCAATGACCAAAAAGAAATTCTCTGACAAATTGACCTAGGTCTAGAATTTTACATGCATTTTTAAAAGAAATGATAGAATTTATAGCTATTGTAAAGTTACAAGACTTTAAAGGTACTTGGACACAGATTTGAAGTTATTATTTTCTCTATAATATTACGAATTATATATTTTAATAGCATTTCACACAAAAATTAAGTAAAAATCTTATTTCGTTTAAAAGATATTGAAATTTCAAATTTTTCGGCGGGTTTGTTTGACATATCCTTGCACTCTCACAAATTTAATTTTATTCTTAATCCTTAGGAAAAGTGGCAATCTCGTTTTGTATAAATGAAAAACATTAATACTATAATCCAGAAAATTCAGAGTAGACACGTTCGAAAGCAAAACAAACACACAATATATTGTCAGTCCGTGCAGTTGTGGTAAGCAGACTGTGACGATTGAACGCACCCAGTGAATTCTAAATATAAACAATAACAGAACTCGAGCCCTGTTTACAAAAACTGTGTACATAACACGAGTGTGCTCGATTTGCTAAACTCTGTACGCATCTCTTAGTTTGGAATGACGATACTTGTGAAGGTGTTTTGCTTTCTAACATTTCTACTCTGAATAAAATTATTTTTCTTGATAAAAGTTTTAATATTTCTCATTAAAACACATCAAAATTGCCACTTTTCCTAAGGATTAAGAATAAAGTTAAAATTTGTGAGAGTGCAAGGATGTGTCAATCAAACCCGCCAAAAATTTTAAAGTTTTAATAACTTTTAAATGAAATAAGATTTTTGTGTGAAATGCTATTAAAATATAAAATTCGTGATATTATATAGAAAAAATGAGAAAATATTAACTTCAAATCTGTGTCCAAGTACCTTTAAGCAATTTGTCAAATTTTATGGCTCCTGGATAGCTAAAGTAATTTTTAAAAAAGCATTTTTCCCCGATTTCAATACACTTCTAACTGTGGCCGACTTAAAAGGAAGGTACGCGATCAATGTTTCAATAAAAAACAGAAGAATCCAGATAAAAGAAAGTTACTGGGAAATATAACATTCAATTCAAATGTCGACCTTGTGGACTACACAACGCAAAGAATGTTTAGGAAGGTTTATTTTCAAATTTAAAAAAGAATTT